GAGTCGGGGAACGTTAACCTCCATCTCGAGTCGGAGAACAAAAATTTGATCCAGTACAGCAACGAGAACATGAAGGAGGGGAAGCGGCAGGCTCCGTTCATGTTGGACATGTTCAACGTGAAGAAGACGTTGCTCGAGAAGGAGGATAAACCGGGGAAATCCATTTCCACCATTTTCAACATGAAGCTGGCGAAGGCTGAGGTGGATACAGCCGCCGTGAAAGATTGCGCGAAAAGGGGGGGGAACGAGAAAGAGGTGGAGATCCCGATTACTAATGGAGTTCTCGAATTCGAGAAGAATAAAGTTAAGGAAGTGCCGTACGAAGACGGCACGGCCGGCCTCGCGCTACCCTCCGACATCATGGAGAGGAACGTGGATGAGAAACGGCTTAAGAACTCGGCGAGGGAGTTCGACAAAAGACAATCGGGACAAAGCGCGATGAACGAGGAGGGAATTCGAAATTGGTTCGAGGCCGCGGATCGTGAACGAGTGGACGCGAACGCGAACCAAGCGAATATAGCCGAGAAGCGTAACGGGAACGTGGAAAACGGGGGGAAGGGGGGGAAATTTAAGAACGAGGAGGAGTGTTTGAACGATAACGCGGACAATAATAATAATTTGGTGGACGGGAAAAACCGCGGGAACGTTGGCAAGGAGAAGGAGTTGAATTTGATAGGGAGCAAGAATCAGGAGTCGGAGGTTGGCGGCAAAGAGAAAGCGGCGACGAACGAGGTCGACGGCGAAAGGAAACGGAAAAAGAAATATCAGGGGGGGGGATTCGTGGCCGGGAACGAGTTGAACGATCAAATGACGAGCGACAGATACGGGCAGAGGAAGATCCTTCAATACATGGAATATTCCAACGACGAAGTGGAGGAGGCTGATTTGAATTACAACGACAGGGAGGAGGAGGAGAATCAGCGACAATCGGTCAATGCAGGTAAGAGGGGACGGGTGCAGAGAGAGAGAGAGAGAGAGAGTAAAGAGGTGCGACGATTATCTTTCTTTCCCTTCTTCCGTTCTTTTTTTCCAGAAAAAAGCGACGTATCGGCGCGCAGGAAAGAAAGAGCGGTCAGCGATAAAAAGAAAGCGAAAGTAAATGTGATGATAAAAAGCAAGATGAGCAAAAAAAAGAAAGAGAAGACTAGGAAAAGGCGTAATCCGAACGTAATCGAGTATTACGAATACGATAACGATATGGATCAAGAGAACGACGAATTGTCACCGTCCAACGAACAAGAACGAGTGAAAAATAATTATCAAGACAAAAACCCTATAGAATTTGATGCGGGACTTGGTAATGATGCGTGCACTTCTCCATCCTCGAAAACCTAACGTGAAAAAACTGCTAAAAATCTTGCGTAGTAAAGTTTCGTCAAATTTTGTATCGCAACCTGTTCAAGTTCACCTCCCTCCCGTTCGTTGCCTCCAGGTTAGGTGAATTCTCGTACGAGAACTCATATCTGTTTTCAATCGTAGTGGAATACGAGGAGGAGAAAGAGTGTGTACCACCCAAAACGGACAAGAAAGTGGACTTGCATGAAATAGAAATGGAAAAAAAGGAACGGGAGCAGGAAAGGAAGAAGAAACCGACAGAGCAATTCCTGAGTCCAAGTGGAAAAAATATAACTAAGAAGAATAGCGCATCGATATTATCGACCAAAGTTAAATTTGCGGATGAGGATGGATCGTCCGGCGGGCAACAAGCGGGATCAAGGTGAAGGCAACGTGAACACCATTAGTCGCGAGAGGTCAGTGGTAAATTTCACGCAAAACGAAATGGTAAAAAAAAAAAAAAAAAAAAAAAAAATCATATCAAACGGATGACACTGACCTACGTGATCGTTGTATTAGTGGTTACACACGTACATTCGAGAGATACCGGGGGACACCGACTGATCCTAGTGTATTAACAGGTTAAAAGAGCCGGTCGAGGAGAACGAGGAAACGTTTCTAGATAACGAAGTGAACGAGATGGTACTAGATCCTGCCAAATATATTCTCAAGATGGATAAAAATCTAGACGTCGGAATAATAGACGATATATTCGAGGATATCCAATCTTTGGACGAAAAGTATGACATATTTCTCTCTGCTCTGCTATCCTATGCTATGCTATGCTATGCTGTTTCCTGTTGAACTGTTAAACTGTCGCGTTCGTCTCACCGATCGTATCACCCAAATATCTGTCCGAGCAGAAAAGAAAAGATACCTAACAGCATGGAACCATTGTACGAAGAGTTGAAAAAGATATACGATTGGAACGAGGAGGAGAACAAGAATAAGCCTCGAATCAAGGGAGATCAGAGAATGTACTACGAGAACAACGATAAACTAGATCCGACCGTGGTCGAACAGAAAGATCAATTGGAATCGCCGGAAATCCACGCCGATTCATCTGGAACGTATGGTAAAAAAAAAAAAAAAAAAAAAAAAAAAAAAAAAAAAACGTTGAATGAATCAATTTCGTTTGAAAATCCTCCTTCGTTTTCCCTACCTCGATCACCGACCATGATCAATTTTGCCGTACAGCTTCTAGCCCCAATCTATTCCTCCCTATTTCCCTATTCGTTTACGATGGATCAGAAAAATCTAAAATTGGTGAGAATAATTCACCGGTCGTATCATCTGGCGAGCCCATTGCGAGGAACAACGTTTCCCAAAGTAATTATTTAGCTCTTAAAAGCACGGACGATATGTTTAAAGGTGGGCCGGAGCAAAGCCTTAACAGCACCGACGAAAAATTACAAGGACTTGGTGTTATCGGTAAAGTTGTTGAGTGGAAAACGCAAAAGGTAAAAGAAAAAAGAAAAAAAGAAAAAAAAAAAAAAAAAAAAAAAAAA